ATCTCTAGTCCCAGCATCCCCACAGATATCTGTGTGTGTGTGTGTGTGTGTGTGTGTGTGTGTGTGTGGTGTTCAGTAGATTGGGCTGCAGAGTGAATGGGCTCATTAGCGGTAGCAGAGTAACACATGGCCTGGGGCACACACAGACACACACTCTTTCTCTTTTGCTTTGCTGTCTGTCTCCCTCTCTACACACACACACACACACACACAACACACACACACACACACACACACACACACACACACACACACAACACTCCGGACTTGAATACTAATGCCCTCAGATTGTGAACACAACGAGCCTCATTTATAAAAGATTCTTATATCCTAATGCACCAGTCTGGGCTTCACAATACATTGCAAGTAAAAGATGAACTTATGAAAAATTGATCCCGGTGCCAAAATCAGCTGTTTACATGGATTCTTTCCAATGTTCTGTGATGTTAAAAATGCATCTAACATTGTTTTTTATTCTAATGATTAAGTAGGTGATATGTTCCCAAAAGATGTTAACACTTAGCAAGAAGACCAACCAGGGAGCCCACACAGCCCTGGAAGATAAATGGAAACATGTCTTAAAATAATGAAAATGGGCTTTAACACCTTCAGAAAACTTATCACTGATGACAATGTTACATCCGCAGTGTCTCTGCCAATTAGATATACAGGGAGTGCAGAATTATTAGGCAAATGAGTATTTTGTCCACATCATCCTCTTCATGCATGTTGTCTTACTCCAAGCTGTATAGGCTCGAAAGCCTACTACCAATTAAGCATATTAGGTGATGTGCATCTCTGTAATGAGAAGGGGTGTGGTCTAATGACATCAACACCCTATATCAGGTGTGCATAATTATTAGGCAACGTCCTTTCCTTTGGCAAAATGGGTCAAAAGAAGGACTTGACAGGCTCAGAAAAGTCAAAAATAGTGAGATATCTTGCAGAGGGATGCAGCAGTCTCAAAATTGCAAAGCTTCTGAAGCGTGATCATCGAACAATCAAGCGTTTCATTCAAAATAGTCAACAGGGTCGCAAGAAGCGTGTGGAAAAACCAAGGCGCAAAATAACTGCCCATGAACTGAGAAAAGTCAAGCGTGCAGCTGCCAAGATGCCACTTGCCACCAGTTTGGCCATATTTCAGAGCTGCAACATCACTGGAGTGCCCAAAAGCACAAGGTGTGCAATACTCAGAGACATGGCCAAGGTAAGAAAGGCTGAAAGACGACCACCACTGAACAAGACACACAAGCTGAAACGTCAAGACTGGGCCAAGAAATATCTCAAGACTGGTTTTTCTAAGGTTTTATGGACTGATGAAATGAGAGTGAGTCTTGATGGGCCAGATGGATGGGCCCGTGGCTGGATTGGTAAAGGGCAGAGAGCTCCAGTCCGACTCAGACGCCAGCAAGGTGGAGGTGGAGTACTGGTTTGGGCTGGTATCATCAAAGATGAGCTTGTGGGGCCTTTTCGGGTTGAGGATGGAGTCAAGCTCAACTCCCAGTCCTACTGCCAGTTTCTGGAAGACACCTTCTTCAAGCAGTGGTACAGGAAGAAGTCTGCATCCTTCAAGAAAAACATGATTTTCATGCAGGACAATGCTCCATCACACGCGTCCAAGTACTCCACAGCGTGGCTGGCAAGAAAGGGTATAAAAGAAGAAAAACTAATGACATGGCCTCCTTGTTCACCTGATCTGAACCCCATTGAGAACCTGTGGTCCATCATCAAATGTGAGATTTACAAGGAGGGAAAACAGTACACCTCTCTGAACAGTGTCTGGGAGGCTGTGGTTGCTGCTGCACGCAATGTTGATGGTGAACAGATCAAAACACTGACAGAATCCATGGATGGCAGGCTTTTGAGTGTCCTTGCAAAGAAAGGTGGCTATATTGGTCGCTGATTTGTTTTTGTTTTGTTTTTGAATGTCAGAAATGTATATTTGTGAATGTGGAGATGTTATATTGGTTTCACTGGTAAAAATAAATAATTGAAATGGGTATATATTTGTTTTTTGTTAAGTTGCCTAATAATTATGCACAGTAATAGTCACCTGCACACACAGATATCCCCCTAAAATAGCTAAAACTAAAAACAAACTAAAAACTACTTCCAAAAACATTCAGCTTTGATATTAATGAGTTTTTTGGGTTCATTGAGAACATGGTTGTTGTTCAATAATAAAATTATTCCTCAAAAATACAACTTGCCTAATAATTCTGCACTCCCTGTATGCTTAGTGAAGAATGCAATTAGTGGCAACAAGAGAAGCACAATTAAATACATTAAAAAAGATGAACCAGGTGATCTTACCGAGCTTGTCTTGGAAAAGCAAATATGTTTGGCACAACAGTGCAGATGATAATTCTGATTGCAAAAGCTGCCAGACATGACAGACTACAAAAAAATAATGAATTCATTAATTATTACAACAACAAAAAAACAACACCAACAAATATGCAGTCCTCTGGAGAAAGCTAGACTCATCATCGGCGACTAAAACATTTGTTTAATCAGCCCTAAACCTGTACTTCTGATATCACAATGCTCTTTATGACTGCTGGCCAATAAACGGCTTCAACTATGAAAACGGAAATGGAAACTGAAAACACTGACAGTCTTCAAGAGATTGTTTTTGGACCCATCCATCCACCCCAACATCCTGCCATGGTGGAGCATCGCTCGGCAGCATCATCTCTCACCTTCTCCTTTGCTCCCGTTATTATACAAGCCATAGATGGTTGCAGCTGTTATAATAAAACTATGTTTTATAATCAACTGCTTCCATAATTGCTCAGTCACACTGGGGTAAAAACAGTACAGGAACATCGGTGCATCTTGGAAAAATTCATGGCTGCCCTGAACATGCAACACCCTTAGCCTTAGTCTGTGGGTGAGAACTTTAGACGGTTAGTCCAGTACACAGGTGGCGAGAGGCGACCTGTTTCGACTGAAATGGACTCATCATTCTCAGAGAGACTGGCAAAGATTTGCTAATCATTTCTGTCTAATTTATAAATGCTATCCCAGTTTGTTGCACTATGAATGCAATAAATGCAACTTGTCTACGGTGTCTTTTCGCAGTAAGCGATACAACTCAGCTGGTTGCCGACTCGTAGTACTTTGGTTATATTCGTATATGAAGCAGCCGTGTCACTCTGCAGTTAAACTGCCATCCTGCAGCAACTATGTCACTATTTATGGAGGAGTTTCTGTTTCAAATCTACGAGGCTGGTTGGAATCTGAATGTAACCAGCTGAGTTTCTCTTTAATGTGAATTTATGCATACAGCTAATCACCAAATTAACAGACACAGGTCGCATGTAATTGTTAATTTAACCCCATCCAGTGTCAATCTGATAACAGTGGACTAGTGCAGACCTGGTCTTCAAAGCCACCATTACAAGATGCAAGTAGATCACGAGTACATTGCACATGGCCACAATAATTTGATCATACAACCACAGTTTTCCATGGTGTGACTGTGATACTAACAACCTATTATATGGGAGGAAAGTATCCAAACTCTGATACACTCAGAGGTAACGGAGCCACAGCGGTGCAATGGTTAGCTCTTTCACCTCACAACAGAAGAATCTTTTCCTCCCACAGTCCAAAGACATCCATGTTCGGTTAACTAGCTATTCTAAATTGGCCGTGATTGTGAATGTTTGCCTGTTTGACTAGAAAACCTGTCCAGAGTGACCCCAGCTTCTCACCCTAAGACTGCTGGGATATGCTCCAGACCCCGACCCCCAGTGGATGACAACCTTAGGACAAGAGCTGCTGAGGCTGGGAGGTCCCTCGCTGCAGAGTAATGATTAACAATGTGGTGGGAAAAAAATAATGAACTGAAAAGAAAACAAATCAGGAACAACGTGTTCATTAATTATGCAGGTCTTAAATCATTTGTACATGTGCCACTTAACCAGCTGAATCAAGAATAAGCTGTTCATTTACTACAACATACCGCGGGACGATTATTACTGATGCTTGATCTACAGTAACAACTGGCAGAAATAAGATTATGCTAATGCACAATGCATTACATCCCATAACCCAGGATAATAAACAAAAAAGGAAACGCTGGAAACTCAAAAAGCATCGATAACAAGGTGCCCTACACTCGAACGAACAACAGAAGCATCTAAATGTTAAATGTGTGTTAAGCTGTAACGAGACCACATTTATTAAAAAAGAGCCTGAGGAAATGTTACTCGCTGACCTTCAAACATAACGCATGCATGCATGTACGCAGGGTTTTATGTTTCCTCCTCAGAGCCACAGTCTACACGCAGAGCCCCTGCAAAGTCTCCCTGCGATACAAATAGCGAGTCTGCTGCCTAAATCTGAATGTTAGAGCTGAAGCGTGCAGGCCGCTGACTCTCCTTATCAAACGGACACCTGTCGCCGCAGATGTTTCGGTGAATTAGAGGCGCAACACCTGCAGAAGACTTAATAGCGGCTGCATTTGCGATTAACTTCATATAGCAAAAAACCCCTAAAAATCAAACAACGTCCCGCTAAAACGTTGGATATTTACTGAAGCGAGACGTGTTAGACGCTGAGGGTTGTGTGAGCCGGCTCTGCACTCCTAAACCGTGCTTTCAAAAACAAGTACAGAAAGAGAAACACTGACCACAGCTACCTCAATTGCCTGTTTCAGGGCAAGAACAGTTATTTATAGCTTGTTGTTTGGCTGATATTGAAAGTCACACACTCCATTAACCTCACACCCTCTGCCAAAGACTCGCTGGCTGCCACACCATATAGAAGCATGATGCCCCGGCTACTTGACTTAATGCAGGCCATATGTGGATCTGCCTTATTTCTCTCTGCCAAAACAACAAGTAATACACGACATCTGACTGCGGTCTTACTTAGCCCAGGTTGCTCTCGGTGGCAGAAGAGCAGCTTGCACGCCAGCTCTATTGTGAGTGCTATTTTCTGTGAGGATAAAAACGAGGCTGCAGAGTGCAGCGTTTGGTTATTTGTCTTACCTCAGGGCTGCGGCTCTGGCTTTAGGCTTGTCGGACACCTGTCGCAAAAAGAAACAACAAAAAGAAAAAATCAGAAGTCACGTTCATAGATTATGTTTAACTATCGAGACAGTGATGATGGTGAGAACACAATACGACGTGTGATAAACGTCACTGACTTTACTCGCCGTCTGATTAATGTTCTTATTAAGAAACAAATGAAAGCTTGTTCATTTTTTAAAACTCCCGAGTGTGACGGATGCAGTTATTCCACAAGGACGAGCGAGGAGCGACGTGCCTCTATCGATCACCTGATGGTTCGATTCAAATCAATTCCAGACAGCGCTGATAAATTGATCAATGCGCTCATTTGGTTGGATTAAATGATACTAGACACTGTGTCAAAAAAGAGAAATAAAATCAACCCAAATCGTCACAGTCTGTGTAACTATGCATCTCTAAAACATCTTTTAACAAACATCAGAAATAGTGTGGTAATATTCGTTACATTTATTGAGCACAAAAAACCCACAAAAAAATACGACACAGCCCAGCTCGCTCTCAGGGCAGCATTTACTTTTAAGGCAATGGTATCTTATTTTGTTTCGCTTTCTTTGTTCTTTTTAAATACTTTAAATGCACGTGTTATACTGCACTACAGATGTCTTACCATTCCCTTAAAAGTAAATGCTGCTCAGAGAGCGTGCTGGCTTGGCACAGGATTATTTTTGTAGATATAAAACATATGTTGCATAGTTTAACTGCATAGCTTTTTCATAGTTTAGTAAAATTTGTTTAAACATTTAATAATAAACATCAGGGGAAAAAGTTGTTGATCACAAGTTTATTTGATTTTCCAACAAAAAGTTAGTCGGGAATGATTAGAACCTGTAACATACACAACAAAGACTCTCCCTATGTTGTTTCCTATTGGTCTGTACGTTTTCAATACAAACAACGGCGATGCTATTCGATGCTTTTAAATAGCGACATAGAGCATTATTGTTCAGAGGTCAAAGGTCAAATGTATGACAGAGTATTTTAAGATTAAATTTGAAATTCTAGTTTGAGAAAAGTTGAGATTACAGTCGTCCTTTCCAGCTGCTGCACTCAGTGTAGATGAGTTCGTGATACGACCCCTCTGTACTGAACGACCGTGTAACCATGTGTGTGTGTTGCTTCTCTTAATTATTTTCCAGAAAACACAAACTATCTTTTCACTTTCTTAGCCTCACCTTCCCTCGATCAGCTCTCCTCTATTAGAAGAAGAACTTCTTGTCATTAAAATGACAGTAAAGTCGACTTTCTCCTTATCGTCTCTTCCTTTACGCCCCCTCCTCCGTGCTTCCTCCCTGCCCTCTCTCTTCACTCCGAGCTTCTGCTTTATTTCTATTCATACTTTTCCTCCTTTCAGCAAAAAGAACAGGGGGGAGGGGGGGTGATTAAGCATGTCAGTGAAGCCTTTTCCTAACCTCCACCTTCTCCCCCGTCCTCTCTTCCTCCCTCTGACGCCTCCCAGTCATTTTTGCGCATGGCTACATCAATTAGAGCGACAAAACAAAAACAGTAAACTCAATTCCTGCAAATATCAGCCATTAATTTTTCTTCAAGCACTGTAACCCAACAATTAAAATGAATTACTCAAACAAAAACAGGACCTTTTCTTCCCTCCGGCTTGTTGTTGTTTCCCCCCCCC